AAGGACTTTTTTTAAATTATAGTTAGATTTAAATTGTTAGAATTATTTGAGTCAATTTAAATTCATATTTAAAATTTTAATTAATTTTAAATTTATAAACTTAAAAAAATAAAAATAAAATGATTTAATCTTTAAAAAAAATAAACTGACGGCAGTATCACTAGGAACTTTTTCCATCAGTCTTCCGCCCCCAAAATATTATCCTGATTTCTCTGTGGACTTTTGTTCTTTCCAACCACTGCTATATTTTCACCAACTCTACCAATATACCCATAGAGATCTAAAATGAAAAACAACTGTTCAACTGATGTATTGGACGTATATTGGTCACAAGCAACCCCTATTCTGACAACACCACCTGGTGGATGCACAACTATTAATGGGTTCCCATCATCATATGCCATAGCTAACTCAACAAAAGCTTCTTTCAGCTCAACGCACCTCCACAAGCCTGAAGACCCGCCAAGAGAACTTTGAACTCCACTTAAGCTAGCAGTTGCTTCCAAAGACAAACTGAGTTGTGATGCTCCAGCAGTCCATTTCTTTAGGCTCGCATCAATAGGTTGACCATCCTATAGAGAGAAACAAGCAGGATCCTTCTCCAGGTTCAGGAACTTGAGTCTTAGTAATGATGACTCCGACAAAAACAACTTTTCAAAATAAAGCCTAGCTCCGGCAAACCACTTTTGCATGATATGGTTCTCTCCACCACCAGGATTATCCAATTTGCTTATGTCCAGAGGAACACTAATATCTAACTCCTTGAGAGTGAACAAAAGGGAATTCAATAAAGAATCTGGTAAAATAGAGCCGGGATTGACAACTATTCCATCAGCTAAGATAAGATTTTTTAACCAATGTTCTTTGAAATTAAATAATCTTTTTGTTAAAAGATTAAATCATTTTATTTTTTATTTTTTAAAAGTTTATAATTTTAAAATTAATTTAAATTTTAAATATGAATTTAAATTGACTTGAATAATTCTAACAATTTAAATCTAACTATAATTTAAAAAATGATTGTGTTAGTGGTGGTTTTGATGACAACAATATACTTTAAATAATGTTATTAGTCATTTAATAATAACCAAGGGACTTGGTCTGGTGATTAGGCGTTAAGACTTTCATCATTTAGACCTAGGTTCAAATCTCATGGGTTGAAAAATTTTATGTAGATTTAATCCCTTATTTCTTAATTTAATAAAATATCCATGTGGCAACATTTGATTGGTTGCTATTAATTTAGTAAAAACTAATTATTTATTATTAATTAATTTTAAAAAATGGCTGGTGTGACATCACACGTGAACATGCCATGTCAGTATTTAGTCTACATGGATATGTCACGTCATCATCTATTATGATATGGACATGCCACGTCAGCATCTCCCTCTACATGTTCTTGCTGAGTCAGCTTCAGGCGTTGATCGTTAGTTGACTAACGATTTTCATCCAAAGAGGGTGATTTTTGACCCAAAATGAAACGTGGGGGTCAAATGTTCCAAAAAACAATATGGGCAAAATTGAATATATTGTCAAACGTTAGGAGTATTTGTTTGCATTATGCCATCACTTTTTACCATCTAAATCTTTTAAGTTGGTTTTCAACTTCATATTTATAGAAAATAATTTTTTTTTTATAAATTCGCTTTTGCTCTCTTAGCAAATACACATATCAATACTTTTGCTATCATTACCATTATTACTAATTTTAAGAACTTGACCACTAAAACTTCATTAATGTCAGCATCTTTTATTTCGTATTTATGGTCTAAAGTCATCCATAATTATTTTATTCATCTTATGGATACTATACACTTTACGATGTGTATATGATAATACATTCAATATGTATTCCTAGTGTAGAAAGTTAGAGTGCTCTCAAGCTTTAACACCTATGAATATGGAAACAATGTTTACCTTATCATTTCTAATAATAGAAGGATCATATGATATTTGGCCTAATTTACCAAATAAAATAACATCTTATGTTATCATATCTTAAAATTTTATCCATAGAATTTTACAAGTTTTTTATTGTGGCTCATGATCACCGACAATCATGATTTCGTTTAACACACAAAATTAGAATTAATAACAATTCCAACAATAAATTGAAAGTAAATTATGGTTTATTATCCCAACAAAATTTAGCTACAAACTAAATGAGTAACAAACTTGTTAATTTCAAATGGTTTCTATTATAAATAGTAATCAAATAATTTTGTTAGACAACATAATTAAAACCTCAATTGATTTCCAACATGAAATCAAAGATTCTAATAAACAGAAAAATAATTCTCGTTTATTTTCAATTTTGTTATCATACATAATCAACGTTATGAAACAAAATCAGTAACCAACGTTATTTTCACGATAATTTCTGTTGAACAGATTTGTCCACTCTAAGATTTTTGCAAACCCGTTAAAATGGTAGGATAAATTTTGAAACAAATTTATTTATTATCACATTTTCACCACGACATCCGAATCGTTTCAGATTAAAAAAGGGTAGAAAAAAGAGTTTCGAATCGCTTCAGATTATACTAAATATTAAAATTTTGCCTACCTGATTGACTTCATCATTATCAATAAAAAACTTGAATCATCAAAACTAAACGTGTACCCACAAAATGCGCAACCACAAAGACCTTGCAAATATTTTAAAATTTAATTATTTGAATTCCTACACATAAATTAGTTGAACCATGTTCCACATAAAAAAATTAAACACAAAATCTTTACACAAAATATTTTAGAATTCATAATTCATAATTGCAGGAAACTTATCGTTTTCGAAAATTCCTCTTGATTTTGGCTCAATATTTGTTATGTCGAATTTCTAGCACTTCCCTTGCGTACAACAAGGATTAAACTAAAAATAATTTATATCATATTGGAAAAATAAGAATATAATATGTCTTAAGATTGTTGGAGAATATTGTTAAATCCGAAAATAATATAGAGAATAAAATAGTGAAAATAATATCAAATATCATTATAAAAATTAATGATAAATAACGAGTTTACTTGTCATAGGATTGTAAGAATTATAACAATCCGATACCATAATTACACCTTAAAAGATAAAACAAACCATATTAAACTTCTTAATAAATAAATAAAAATAACTTGAAAGAAAAATACTCTTTTCTTTATTGATCTTTTGATCGGAAATAGTTGAGGTCTGTCGCTATACAGTTTCCTTAAAACAAATTTTCAGTCACTTATTGGTGCTTGAGATCGTTGGTCGTCTACCTCCCAATATACAACAACTAGATTATCAGCTACAGTAGCACTACAATAGAGATTACGAACTATCATTGCTTTTTACTATCACCAGAAAACTAAGGAGAGAAAATATTTTTTTCAAGAAAGTAAAAGATCTTGAATTATGAGATATAGAAAATTTGTTCTGAAAATTGTGTTTAACTTAGCAGGTTAACTCAGTATTTATAAGGATTTTTAAGAGAAATTTACTCAAACTAAATATCTTCGATATTCAAATTTAAACAGATAATTATATATTTTAATTTGAAATATTCAAAAGATATAAACTTGTTTTACTATTCAAACTTAAACAGATAATCATATCTTTTAATTTGAAATATTCAAAAGATATAAACTACTTTTACTATTCAAACTTAAATAGGTAACAAATACCTTTTAATTTGACATATTCAAAGAATAATTATCCTACTAATATTCAAATTAAAATTATCTTTTAATTTGTAATATTCAAAAGGTACATGAATTTAATTTAAATATTAAATTCATCAATGAAATTCACTCATTTTCCAACATTTTACACGTTTTTAGTTTTGGAGAAATCACTCATGAAGAACCTTCATCTCTAGATATTTTGCAGGTTTGTGTTGCTTAGTATCCCCTCATTTTTTTTGAGTTAGTCGAAAGGTACATAGATGATCGCTCAAGTGTGTTTCATATTGTACTTTGACTAACTTTCAAATGAAAATTTTCATCAAATCCATTGCTGCAAATCTTTCTGAGTGCATGTAGGGTGATCTCTCTTATACTCACATAGTACTTTACGTATTTGATATATCATGATTAATTTTTGGACATCTTTTAGATGTGAAGCCATTGTTGGATGGTTTTGATTTGGATTGACTAATTAGGAATTTTTGTCGTTGTTTATATAATGGTTGATTTCCTTACTATACATAAATTTGCATTAAGTTTTAACTAGTACTGCGTATTACAATAAACTTTGTTTTTAGGGGTATTCATTATATTTAATTAGTCATATTATACATGAACATTATTCAATTGGTCAATACAATGTATATGTTTTATTCAAGAATAATAATATAGGTTCGTTGAATCAAAAAGATATCTTTAAATTAATAAATTATTAATTTATCAATTAATTAATTTTTCTTTAAATTAATAAAACTATGTGATCCCGACATTATTAATTTATAAAGGTTTTATTGTATATTATTCCAATATACTTATAGTTGATATTGATATTATTAGGTATTCTCATAGAAAGTTGAAATAAAAAACAAAACAAAACAAAATCTATCAAGTTGTTTTATTCGTAAAAATAAATATTGATATTTTTAAAAATTTTGAATTCGAATTATAGTATCTAAAAAATTATAAACTAATATCATATTATAATTATTTTATACTATTAAAAAATGAAAATAAGACAAAACAAGGGCACTTGATCCGCATGGAATTGGAATATGATGAGCGTAGCAGTAGCGCGTCCGGTAGCATGGTAGCCCAAAAGGCTAACCAGACTTTAAAGTTAAGCCTTTTAAGTTGAATTTGACGGCCCAACGAACCAGCAAGTCTCCCGGTAGTCGGGCATTTTAACCACACTGAAGAAATGCCAAAAAGAGAGGGAAACAAATTCGACCAAAAAACCCTAAAACTTCCACAGGTCACAGAGCAGAGTGTCCGTCTCTCTGCTATATTTCTCTTATTCTCTTTAGAAACCAACTGAATAAATAAATAAATAAACCCTCCACTTTTTAATACATGGAATAGCATTTAAGCTCAACTAATTTGTTCTTCATTTCACCCTTCCCCCCTCGTTTTGCTGATTTTGTAGTTTCAAACAAACCCACTCGCTTGCTTGATATGGCGAGATTTCTTCGAAACATTTCTCATCTGAGACGTTTTCTCTTAGTCCCACAGGTTTTAACGCTTACCCTTTTGTTTATTTTCTTTGATAACTTCGCACCTGCGTTGTTTTTGTCACTTTGAAAGCATGTGATCATCTTTCACCGTTACTATAAGAGAAAGAATGGAAGTTTGAATATATATCTTTTTGCAGGTATGTAGAGGAGAGGTATTAGGGTCTTCTTCACATCTATGTAACTTTTCTTCTAAAGGTATTGCTTCCATTTCAAGCTTTTTATTAGAATGCTGGTACCCAAAATAATATTTTTGAATATGGTAAGTTCCTGCGTGTGATTGTAGAAGAGTGCTCTTTTCATGGCATTTTCTTTTATCAAACTTAATTAATGTTGGGGAGCTGTGATGATTTTTGATTGAAAGAACTCAAATAGTGCTTCGAATTAGGATCCTTTGTGTAAAGAAAAATGTGTCATCTAAATGATGTTGCTCTTTATTTATTTTGTTTGAGCTGGCTTAATTTTAGTTGGAAAGTAGATAAAGTTCTTACTTTATTGTCCCCCTGCTTGAAGCTAGGAAGAAATCCAAGTCGGATGGAAGTGATTCCGGTGAGGAGAATATGTCCAAGAAAGATTTAGCTCTAAAACAAGCGCTGGATCAGATTACTAGTTCTTTTGGAAAAGGATCTATCATGTGGCTTGGTCGTTCTGAGTCCCCTAGGAATGTTCCAGTAGTTTCCACTGGTTCTTTTGCTTTGGATGTTGCACTTGGAATTGGTGGCCTGCCAAAGGTACTCTGCAATTCTTGCTTCTTCTTTACCTTCTTGCTACTAAGCAGTAGCTGCTCACTATATTTAGTAGTTCCTTAAACACCTCTTTATTGGACTGTTACAGGGCCGTGTAGTGGAGATATATGGACCTGAGGCTTCAGGGAAAACAACACTTGCACTACATGTAATTGCTGAAGCACAGAAACAAGGAGGTCACCTAATGTAGTTTAACTTAGTATTGTCTTATTTATGATTTGTTATGACGAACTTTCATTCATCAGGACATCCATTATTCTGTCGCGGCAGAGGAGAGTATCTTTGCATTTGTAACTTCATCCTGCCATGCTACTAGAAAACAAATTTCTTACGTTACATTTTTAGAACTCATAGTAGAAGACTTTGATAGGCTAGACTTTCATGTTAATTCCAATGAGAACTACATGCAGAATATGATATTCTTAAATCTATTTATAGGGTGATCACATTTGGAGGGTGGAGGAGATTTTGTCGTGACTATCTTCTATTCTGTCAGTTATTTCTGTTATCATCGTGTTGGATGCTTACATTTTTTATAATATTATAAAATGCAGGTTATTGTGTTTTTGTTGATGCTGAGCACGCTCTTGATCCAGCTCTAGCTGAGACAATTGGGGTAAACACCGAGAATTTGCTTCTTTCGCAACCAGATTGTGGAGAACAAGCTCTCAGTCTTGTAGACACCCTTATACGGAGTGGCTCTGTTGATGTTGTTGTTGTTGACAGTGTAAGGTGTTTTTGGATTCATTTCTTTTCCATGGAGTGTTTCCTGATAAACACTGCTGGTAGTTGGTAGAATATGCTTGTGTTGTGTTTATGAAATCTGCTTTATTCTCTTTGTCCACATTTTTCTTTTGGCTGCTTAGTTAGGTAGTGTATGCTATGATACTGATTTGAAGGAGGATATTTTTGAATGTACCGAATAAATTGGATATTCATCGTTGAAGTTCTGTAGTTTTCTCTGTGTGATACTGCGACTTGTTACACTTATTTGGAATGGAATCCTGAAAATGGCTTTATTCCCACACCAGGTAGCTGCCCTAGTGCCTAAAGGCGAGCTTGATGGCGAGATGGGTGATGCTCATATGGCAATGCAAGCCAGATTGATGAGCCAGGCTCTTCGTAAATTGAGTCATTCTCTATCATTATCCCAAACCATATTGATTTTTATAAACCAGGTATAAGTTCTATATCCTGATAATGACACTCATGAGTTTTATAAAGCTTTAATTTGTTAATATTCACACAATGTTCATCGACATTTAAATTTTTTTCCCTTCATTAAACTTTTTGTCCCAATTTTAAGGCTTTTATTAAGCTATTAATTAGGTGGCCATTAAATTGATTCAGTATTTCCCAGCTGAACTGTTCCTCCTAATGGAGGTCCAGGCAGAGTTCTCACGAGATTTAAGGTTCAGAATACGAAACGAGGAATGATTTTTTGTTTATTATAGTACATTAACTATTTATAGTTATCAGGTAAGGTCAAAACTTTCAACCTTTGGGTTTGGTGGGCCAACTGAAGTTACCTGTGGTGGTAATGCCTTGAAGTTCTATGCTTCTGTGCGTCTAAATATTCGGAGAACCGGGTTTGTCAAGAAAGGAGAAGAGGTATCAAGTTATATCCTTTCTTTCCTCTTAAGTTTGATAGTTGGATCCGGATGTAGTGATTTAAGAAAGTCTCTGATCATACAATTCATGTAAACTCTCTGATGTCTGGCTTAACCTAATAATTTGGAAGGACTTAATTCTTTAATCAATTGAGTCCTTTCACGAAAGACTCATGTCGAAGATGGGAAATTAAAAAAGGATTCGAATCTACATAATTCTCTTCTTTATGGTTGAATGAATTTTCCCGTATTTCCATGTATCATTGTGTTTGTTGATATTTCTGTGATATTCAGATTGTTGGAAGTCAAGTTGCTGTGAAGATTGTGAAGAACAAGCTTGCCCCTCCATTTAAGAATGCTGAATTTGAGCTTGAGTTTGGGAAGGGAATATCTCGAGAAGGGGAGATCATAGATCTGGCGACGAAACACAAATTTGTTACAAAAGCCGTCGCATTCTACACTTACAATGAGCGGAAATTCCATGGCAAGGAAGCCTTCAAAAAGTTTTTGGCTGAAAACGAAATTGAGCGGGAAGAACTTGCGGCAAAACTTAGAGAAAAGCTACTCGAAACTGAGAACAAAAAGGAAAAACATACTGATATTTCTGATGGGAATACATCAGAAGAAATAATTTCAAAGGATATTACTGATGAAGAAGCCGTTACAGCCATTGAAGCTTAAGTACCCTATGACCCGAAACGGAATGTCCCTTGTTTCCCTTGCAGGTTCAGTCTTTTGTGGGAATGCTTTCTCGTATTGGACCTGTTAGCTGATTAAATTTTCCGGTGGCATGATGATGGAAAGATTTGAAGGTTCTTCGGTTCACAGTTCAACATTCAACCCATTAGAAGTCGTATTTGTATTATGCATGTGTGGTATGGTTTCATGGATGCAATAGATTGAAAAATACATGACCTTCATTGAAATCTCCTAAAGTTTTCCCTCTATTGTCATGTATCTACAGCCACATTCGATATGGTACGAGTCCATATATATATATATATAATTGAGGTAAGAATTTTGTTTCTCGTTTTCCCATCTTAGACTAATTTAATTAAGAAATTTTATCTTTGATCAAATTGTCAATTCTGAACACGTTGAAAATTCAATAATCAACATATGAACTAATTTAATTAAGCTGTGGGTCGTTTTTGCATATGAACACATTGAAAATTTAGCCAACGTATGAACTAATTTAATTAAGTTTTGGGTAGTTGTTTTTGCTTATGAACACATTGAAAATTAAGCAGTCAACGTATGAACTAATTTAATTAAGCTTTGGGTAGTTGTTTTGCATATGAGCACATTGAAAATTAAATAATCAACATATTATTTCTTTAAGATATACTAAAATTTTCTTTAATAATAAAAATAAATATATGGAAAATTATGTAATTTTGTTTAAAAAAATTAAAAATCTTATTACAATGTATCATCTACGAACTTTTAAATTAATATTAGATGTCTTGAAAAAGAGTAAAAAAGTTAAATGAATTTCTAAAAGCCAAATCGATAATTTTCCAATCATAGCTGCCATGATAAAGGGGTCGTGATAATTGACGTGCCTTGAAATTAAAGGCAATATTATCTTTTCTAAGCTGGTGGAATTTATATTATTTTTCGGATTCATTTAAAAAGTTCAAAAAATGTGGAAGATAAAAATGAATTATATATTTTCTGAGGAGATAATGAATAATTTTACCATTATCTCAACCTAAAATTTTAATGTTTTTGGGTAACTATAGTCTCCACAGGTATTTTCTTAGTTCCACATGGCTTGCCTACCATGCACACCAATCATCCATACCCTTAAATTTGTTATATTATTATTCTTGTGGTCCTTACATAAATATAAGAGATGTTAAATTCTTTAAGCATTTGATACCATTTTTTTTCTTTTTCTTTTTCCTTCTTAGTGTGGTATGAACTGAATTCTGATTCTTTCTTGCCATTTTTTAAGCATAAAATTCTTCCATTCATGTGAGGATTGGATAAGATCTGCACAAGCCAATATTATGTTAATTTAAATATTAATCTATATAAAATTTATCAAGTGACTTCAGTAGTACAATAAAATATTGTTCTTCCTAAAAGTTTTGGATTTGAATAGCTATGTCTACTGGGTATGTGCATTATAATTGGTCAAGAAAGTTTTGTACATATACATGGTCCCCTCTTATCTAGGGCCAAAATTATAAATTCGCATATAATTAAAAAATGATTAATTATCTATTTAGTCACTCACCTATTATTTTATTTTTGTTTTGGTCATCAAATTATTATTATTTTTGTCAAATCATACTTAAAGTTACATTTTTTTACCCACCATTAAAAAAATTAACACCGATGTTGATATGGTATTTTTTTTTCACTTTCTACTTAATAATTCTTTTATTATTTTTTGACAAGATGGAGAAGGTTAAAATCTAACATGTTCCCTCCTAAACAAGATCATGCTTATTTTGTGCAAGTAGTTGAGTGTTTAATAAAATTTCTTAATTTTTTGTTTAAAATTTGATGTATTTATTATATGGTTTATTAAACGTAATACAAAAAAATTTGCAAGCAAATTTATTTAGTTTTGATTGTTCTTATAATTCAAATTTTTTTATACTTATTATCATAAGCCTAATGTCTATTTTCAGACCATACTATTAAAATCTTATAAACGGGCCTATAATCACCTTAAACTATTAAAAAATATTATTATTATATATTATTAAAATATATTCAAATTATCAATTTTATTATATGTTAGAGTGATTGAGTTTAATTATAATTATACGAATTGTATTGTGTTTTAAGTGTAGTTACACTTATATTATATAATGCCGGCCCACCTAATCATTCCAAATTTAGGTAGTTGGCAATCTTCGATTAGATCCGATTAGTTAATATATAAATGCAATAGTCCAATAACATCAATATGATTAGAGGTTGTGAGTGGTTTACTTTCTAAGAAGAACTTGATTAGAAAAAGTTAGGGAATATTATTAATACTAAAAGGGACATTAGATCAACATAAATCCAACCCAAATAATTAATAAGGGTGGTTGGTTATTTTAAGAATAAATAGGCCTCTAATAATAGGATTCTCTTATTAGTTTACATGAATGCATGGGAATTGCATGTCCTTTTTTAGGGTATAGCATACCAGATGTCAATGTATTCTGTCAAAAATGATTTACCTAGTCGGTAAACTTTTAAATATTATAAAATAATCATTAAATTTATTAAATTGTTATAAAATATCCATATATATAATAAAATAGTAATAAATTCAAAAAATTAAGGATCATTTTAATTGTTTGGTAAATTTAATGATCAACTTATAATAGTTCGATAATTATTAATAATCATTTTATAACCGTTTGGAAAGTTTACTGATTATTTTATAAGATTTAAAGTTTCCTGATCATTTTACAATATATTTTACCTTTTTTAAACATTAATAATTAGTCTAGATTTTGTGAAAGAAAGAAAACAAAGTTTATTTCACGTTATTTGATTTTGAATATAGTTTTGGACTTTATGTGATTATCAGATATCAAAAGATCTTAAAAGAAAACGAATTATATGCTTAAACTCTTATTTTTCTCTCTAAAAAACCTTGAAAGGACTACAAATTCTAGTATCAATTAATCTTCTCCTAATTAATATCCCTAAAATAACAAAAATATTAATTATTATTGAAAATTCTTTGTCCCGGTGACAACAACATTCTTGGATCAAACTGGTGTTTCCTCTGTTGGAAACTCTTCCATTTTGAGCCAAAATGATGAACCCATTCATCCTTAGTACTGTAATGAGGAAGATATTGCTTAACCATAACACCAGCTTTCTTACAAAACTTCATTATTTCCATGTTTTGATCTTCAAAAGCTTCCAATCATTGAATCCACTTGAATGCAAAAAGCCCACCGCGTAGAAAATTTCTTCATCTGGTGTAACAGCTGACATCCTATCATCCCATCTGCCGTTAATCAACAATATGAAAAACATTACATTATTTTAAGGCATATAAATACATACATGATTAAAGATAATCGAATGTTAAATGTCGGTTCAAATTTGACGTAGAACTTATTTAAATCGAAAAAGAAAACAGCACTTACTTTTGTCTGTTCATGGGATAAACAAGAACAGGTCCTGTAGTAATGTTTCGTTCGAGGACAATGCCTCTGAAAACACCGTTGTTGAAATCTGATATCTGGGATTTGGGTATAAAAAGGTTCAACCATGGATGTGGAACTTCCCATAATCCCTGTGACTCAAGCTTCAGTTCCCCAGCACGAACTCGATTCAAGAATTCTCCATAGCCAACATCTTTCTGAAACATGAATCCAGGCATGTAACTCAAGCCTTGCAAAATCATTTTCATCTCCTGCAATAAAAACACACACACACTGGCAAATCAATATCATGTAACATGTCCTCAAATTTGATCATTAATTTTGTTTTTGTTTTTTACCTTGTCGACTGTGTTTTTCGTTTGGTCGTCGTAATGCTTAACAACTTCGAGACAATATATGATTCGATGCTTGGTTATCAATGAGATTATTTTGGGGTGATCCGAGTGTGGGAAAAACGAAGATCGCCAGTTATCCGGAGAGCCTTGATCCATAAGCAGTGAACCTTCTAAATAATCTAATGCATTTTTATCTTCTCGTCCATTTCTCGAGATTAAAAGCTCTTGATCTCTGGTAAATGCGGAGAAATCACTGTATAATACTCGTACCCACTTAACCTATGAACACAAAGATGAAGACATCATCATGTACTATTATGAATAGCCATGGATCGTGTGGGGACGATAATCGAATTTTAAATAATATATACCCGTATCGGTGCCGGTTGGAGTGGAATTCGAGCTCTTGTTATTATTCCGAACTGGCCTAAACCACCAAGAACAGCATAAAAGAGCTCTGAATTCTTCTTTGGCGAGCAAGTCATAAAATCAGCTTTTCCTGAATTTGAGATATATATAAACGTAGCTCGTAAGTCTAACTGCATGCATGCAACATACAGCTTTTCATGAAATATTTGTGTACATTTTGTATTATTAATAATAAAAACAGACTGGAAAACATTGAAATATCTGGGTTTGGGTTGGGATCGATAATGATGATCATCACCGTTTGAACTTGTGTCCAATGGCTTCCTAACTGTGTGGACCCTAGAAAATATTTAACAGGTTGGCATGGAATGGACCGCCATTTCAAAATTAAATGCACAAGTGATTAACCACCAGACACCAGCTAGCTTAATTGTCTGTTCAGGGTTTTCTTCAACAGAGCGAACCATGCAATGTTGTGAATAAAAATAAAAATAAATAAGATTTGGGTTTCGAACAATAATAGTATATACCTGTTATAACATCCATTTCAAGAACATTACTGATCTGAGGACCATATCGAAAGGTTTGTCCACTAATCCCAGCATTGGAGAGCGTTCCACCGACGGTTAAGTACAAATAATCGGTCCAAGAAACGGGTGTAAGTCCATGTTCCAATGTTTTATTCAACACATCGATCCAAAGCTGTTCGCCGCCGACATCAGCGTATAGCCCATCGGACGAGACTCGTATTCCGGTTCCGTTCCGATTTTTCTTCATCGATTTCATGTCGACCACGACGCCGTTATTCGCCATTGCCTGACCCCTGAGCGAATGACCGTGCCCTTTGGCTGCTATGCCCAAAGGAACTGAACTATAGTAGCCGAGTTTTATGAGTGCAGCAATGTCTTGTGGCGTTGAAGGGTGA